AGGTAATCTTTGATTCAGACCGTTTGGTAAGCGGTGTTGGTGCCTGTGACTTGGCGGTGACAAAGGTATTGGCGTTACTAGATACACATATTATACTAGATGCAGTGCTCAATAGATACAAAATATTATGGAATAGATACAAATATTATGACAGTGCTCAGTAGCAAAATATTATGAATATAAAATATTATGACAGTGCTCAGATACAAAATATTATGACAGTGCTCAGATACAAAATATTATGCAATAGACACATTTATTATGACAATAGATGCTGACAGTGCTCAGCAGATACAAAATATTATGACAGTGCTCAGTAGATACAAAATATTATGACAGTGCTCAATAGATACAAATATTATGACAATGCTCAATAGATACAAATTATAATGACAATGTTCAGTTTCAATTGTTTGTTCATGTTACTATATTTGTTTTTGTAACTACATACATATGCTTATAGATAGACTGGTTGATAGATAGAGACATTCATCTACTTAAATCCTTATTCACGTACTTCATATTTACTGGGAAAGACAATACATAAAGATAGATAGATTGATAGAGAGAGACATTCTTCTACTTAAATCCTTATTCAAGTATTTCATATTTACAGGGAAAGAGACAATATATAAAGATAGATTGATAGATAGAGACATTCATCTACTTAAATCCTTATTCATTTACTTCATATTTACCGAGAAGAGACAAACGTAGATATGAATCCGCAGAACATTAAGGCCCCTTGTATCCACTGTAGTTCCAGCTTGCCTGCGGTTGGGAGTACCTTCGCTCGACGTACCAAAGCATCTACATGTTCGGCGTCACGATCGGGGCGCCGTTCAACGGGGTTCTGGCCGACAGGTGAGCGGCTCTCGTTTGGGAACGGCCTGGTGGTGGTGGTGGTGGGGGGGGGGGGTTCTTGTCCTTTGCTGTTTGGGGTTAATGTGTTCGGCTTTTTTTTTTTTTTTATCTCCTTTCTTTCGTCTTTTTGTGTTACTGTATGTTTCTCGGTATTTATTTGTATGTGCGCGTGTAAGATTGTGTATATATGTGTGTGTGTGTGGTTGTGTGTGTGTCTAAGATTTCTCATTCCCATAGATACAGACATTCATAATTCTCACAATACTCCCGAGAAACGTTAAGAACGGGCGGAAAATCTAATAAATGAAAATAAACTTTACAGTATTTTTGACTATCTGGCAATAAAAAAATAACTGGTTCGTAGTTTTGTCTACTAATCTCTAACCACATGACTAACGTTTTTTTTTTTCTTTGGCAACGCGTTTAGGTCTGAAACCCTATTTATAACCCCCTCCTAAAGCGAAAGATGAGTTGCGTTTGGTTAAACTTGTTTTTATATGCTATATCATAACAGGAGTCCAGGTTTATAGTTCTTAGGCCTTTTTGTGCCTATCCATAATTGCAATAATTATAATCAGAGTATAAACATAACTGGGGACCATGTGTTTAAAAGCTATAACCAAACCTTTTCTACATTAAGGATGATTTTTTATTATTAAAAAGTGAATTTTCGTATATCCACATATCTAGTCTGTTTTGCATAGCCATACTTTCTCTTCTAAGAATTGGAAAATTTAATGTCAGCAGCTTATACTATAAAAAAGAGTATCAGACCTTAATTTCATCTTAGGGATATAGAATCCAAAATAACTTAAAATTCTACCATTAAACAGGTACGGGCGTAAGATGACCATGGCCGTGGGTTTTGTCGCCTACTCCGCCCTGGCCATCGGCTCCTGCTGGATCCCCAACCTCTCGGCTCTCCTGCTCTCGCGCTTTCTCATGGGCGCCGTCGACCCCACGATACTGAAGACGGGATATATACTAGGTGAGGGGTGGCGGAGGAGGGAGAAGGCAAGGGAAAAGGAACAGGTAGAGAAGGAGGGGAGAAGGTATAGGAAAGGCAGTGGACAGAGATACAGATGGCAATAACGATGAGGATGGAAGGGTGGAGAGAGAGAGAGAGAGAGAGAGAGAGAGAGAGAGAGAGAGAGAGAGAGAGAGAGAGAGGGGGGGGGGTGAGAGAGAGAGATAGATAGGTAGAAAGAGATAGAGAGAAAGTACAAAACCATTTAGAGCGTTATCAATTTTCGCAGGCATGGAGGTCGCGGATCCCAAGTGGCGCATGCATATCGGCATTGCATTGTTTCTGCCATGGGCGCTTAGTCTCATGGCGTGGGGCGGGTTCGCTTACCTCGTCCGGGAATGGCGGATGCTTCAGCTGACCGTGTCTTTGCTGTGTCTGGCCTTCTTGCCTACTCTGTGGTAAGTTTCGATGAGATTTCTGTGATACAACTTTCGATATCTGTGTCTATCTCTCACTATCTATTTATCTTTTCTGTCTGTCTGTCTGTCTGTTTCAGTCTGTCTGTCTCTCTCTCTCTCTCTCATCTGCAAAGTTCACAAAGAGTCACTAAAGTTGACGGAAAAGTCCTGGTGTGATAGACCCTGAACTCGTTCCTTCGTCAATGTCTTCTCCTTTTCCTTAACCCTTCTCTTCCCACCTCCATCATCCAGCCGCTTCTCTTTTCTATCCATCTTCTCCTCCTCCTCCTCTCCTCCTCCTTCTCCTCCCTCTCCTCCTCCTTCCTCCTCTTTCACCTCCTCCTCCTCCTCCTTCACCTCTCTGGATTATCCTATTAGGTTCATGGACGAGTCGCCTCGGTGGCTGGCCGTGAGGGGGCAGCACCGGCGCGCCCTCCGAGTGCTGCAGAGGGCCGCCAGGTGGAACGGGGTCGCCCTGCCCCCCGAGGACGAGCTTCTGCTCCTGCTCAAGGACGGAGTCAAGGACGAGGTGCGAGCGCGTGCTTGTGCGCATGTGTAAAAGGAACACACTTTATTTTATATATATATATATATATATATATATATATATATATATATATATATATATATGTGTGTGTGTGTGTGTGTGTGTGTGTGTGTGTGTGTGTGTGTGTGTGTGTGTGTGTTGTGTGTGTGTGTGTGTGTGTGTGTGTGTGTGTGTGTTTATATATAATTTTTTTTTTTTTTTATCAATTTTCCTCGAAATATAAATCCTGTCACTAATCATGCTTCTGAATATACAATACAAGACAGAAGAATAATCCTGGTTCATAATCCTTTTATTTATTGTATTTCTTTTATCACTTGATCCCGTGACGTAGGCAATGGTACGCCCGCACCAAGACGCCCGCGCCCACACCGCGAGAGGCTGGTTCAGAAGGCGTTTGGATGAAGCATTTATTCTTTTCAGGCAGGTCCACTTTTCCCTCTTCCTCCCTCCCCTTCCTCTCCTCCTATTCTCTTTTCTATTCCTCCTCCTCCTCCTCCTTATCCTTCTTCATTCCTTCCTCATCGTCCTCCTCCTCCTCCTCTTCCTTCTGCCAAACTTTCCTTATACATTGCTGAAATATATCATACGATTCTTTATATGAATGAAAAATCTTGTATATCTTGTCTGTATATTTTGATTTCGTGGAAATATTGCAATTTCTCTGACATATTTCGCTATGTCGGTTACTGAAAGCGTGCAGAGGATGTAGTCTCAAACCCACAGAATTATTTTGATTATAAGAGCAATATGAATGGTATTAGTAATAGTGATAAATTAACGAAGATGACAATGATAGTAAAGACAATATATCCTCCTACAAAGACGATACTCATTTTGCTTCTCCACCACTCCCCCACACCCCTCACACCCTCCCCCTCACCCAACAGAACCCCCCGCCTTCGCACCATCACCCTCAGCCTGTACACCAACTACCTACTGGTGGGTGCTGTGTACTTCGGCCTCTCGCTCAGCGGCGGCGACCTGAGCTCCGACCCGTTCCTGTACATGGTGCTGACGGGGGTCGTGGAGCTGCCGGCCTACACGCTGGTCATCCCCCTGGTGGCTCGCTACGGCAGGAGGGCTCCCGTTGTCGCCTTCTTCTTCATGGGCGCCGTGGCTCTTCTCGCACTGCCCTTCGTGCCCACGGGTGAGTGAGGTTGTCTGGGGTGGAGGTTTTGTTTCATGAAATATGTATAAGGTTTCATAATGAAAAATCTGAGAAAAATGAAAGCATGATTTCCTTCTTTCTCATCTTGTTCTTTTTTGTTCGTGTTGTTTCTTATGCCAAACAAAATTAGGAATTTACTGTCTACAAACATGTCTTCAGTCATACCAAGAAGTTTCCCTGACAATCAAACAGGAAAGTAAAACATTTAGCATAGATACCCTTCAAAAATAATATATAGAAAACGTTATTTTAAAATTATAAGGGGACTAAATAATATTTAATTTTCCTCTCAGGTAGTGGGGAATCGATGACCTTAGCGCTTATGGGGAAGATGAGTATCGCTTCGGCCTTCCAGATCCTCGACTTTTACTCCTCAGAGCTCTTTCCACCGAGGTTAGGACGAGGGGCATGAGCACAGCCCTTGTCATGTCAAGGGTGGGGTCTACTTGTTCGCCTTTCATCACGGACTACTTGGTAATTTTTTTCTTCTTTTTTCTTTATTTTTAACAGGAATAAATCATGGTGAATGTTATTATTATTTTTTTTATGGGAAGGGAATATTATGTAAGTAGTTTGAATGAGCTTTTGGTGTTTTAGATTTTTACCAATCACTCTGCATGACAGCAAGATATGACAGTCTTCTTGCTTTTTGTTTAAATCTCTATTTTTATAACTCTCTCTCCCTCCCTAATTCCTTCCTCCCTTTCCTCCTCTTCCTTATTTTCTTCCTTCCTCCCTCTCTTTTTTCCCCTCCCTTTCCCTCCTCCTCGCCAGGGCCCCTTGTACCCGTGGGCGCCGTCAGCAGTGTTCGGGGCGGCGTCGGTGCTCGCGGGCTGGCCACTCGCCCTGCCGGAGACGCTGCACGTGCCTCTCCCGGACACCATCGCACACCTGGAGGAGCGGGAGATCAGGACCAGGTAATTCGGCTGGAGGTTTACTTTGGAGTTGTTCGTCTGTTCCTTTCTTTATCATCCGTTTTTTATTATTATTATTTATTTATTATTTATTTTGTTATTGATGTTATCTGTGTTGTTAAGATCATTATCGTTATCGGTATGATCTCTTCTGTTATTATTTTATTATTCATTTCCTGTTGTTGTTATTTTTTTTTTTTTTTTTTTTTTTTTGTCTCCCCTAGTTTACTGTTTTTGCTGTCTTTTCTGTTTGTTTCTTACCTTTTTCTTTGAGTGTTCTTTGTTGCTTTTTCATTTCGAGGAAAACATATATATATATATATATATATTTTTTCTTTTTTACCGGTATAATGATTTTGTATGGGATTTTAAAATATAACTCTTGTCGACCAAGAGCTCTTACATTAATATCTGTGATCTCTGTAAAACAACATGAAATAAAGTGTGGAAAGCTCTCTAGGAAATAATATTTGCGATTGATCATTACTTACGTCAGAGAAATTAGGAAGAGTATGAGAGATAGACAGGCGCCTGACTGACTTATATACGGACAGACAGGTAAACAGACAGATTGACGGACAGATAAACATATAAGACTGACTGACTGACAGAAGGAAAGACAGACAGACTGACTGACTGACAGAAGGAAAGACAGACTGACGGACAGATAAACATATAAAACTGACTGACTGACAGAAGGAAAGACAGAAAGAAAGACAGACAGAGACAGACTGATAAACAAACGGAAAGATAGACTAAAAGACATATAAACAAAAAGACAGACTGAGACAGACAGACAAACCGAAAGATAAACTAACTGAAGCGACGACATACATAATTATAGCTTTGAGTCCTATTTCCCTTCCTTCCAACAGCGGGTTCCTGCGACTCCCTGTCCGCGATCCCAGAATCCCTACCATTTACGTCAGCCAAGTGGATTAGGGGATTCCACTCCTAGGGGATTCCACTCCAAGGGGGGGATTCCAAAGGGGATTCCACTCCTAGGGGGGGATTCCACTCCTAGGGGATTCCACTCCTAGGGGATTCCACTCCTAGGGGATTCCTCCAAGGGGATTCCACTCTAGGGGATTCCACTCCAAGGGGATTCCACTCCAGGGGGATTCCACTCCAGGGGATTCCACTCCAAGGGATTCCACTAGGGGATTCCACTCCTTCCACTCCCACTCCAAGGGGATTAGGGGATTCCACTCCCACTCCTAGGGATTCCACTCCAAGGGGGGGGATTCACTCCAAGGGGATTCCACTCCAAGGGGACTCCTAGGGATTCCACTCCGGGGATTCCACTCCAAGGGGATTCCACTCCCACTCCAAGGGGAGGGGATTCCACTCCAAGGGGATTCCACTCCAAGGGGGGGTTCCACTCCAAGGGGATTCCAAGGGGGGGATTCCACTCCTAGGGGGGGATTCCACTCCAAGGGGATTCCACTCCTAGGGGATTCCAGGGATTCCACTCCAGGGGATTCCAAGGGATTCCACTCCTAGGGATTCCACTCCTAGGGGATTCCACTCCTAGGGGATTCCACTCCAGGGATTCCAGGGGATTCCACTCCTAGGGGATTCCACTCCAAGGGGATTCCACTCCAGGGGATTCCACTCCATTCCACTCCAGGGGATTCCACTCCAAGGGGATTCCACTCCAAGGGGATTCCACTCCAGGGGATTCCACTCCGGGGATTCCACTCCAAGGGATTCCACTTCAAGGGGATTCCACTCCTAGGGGATTCCACTCCTAGGGGATTCCACTCCAAGGGGATTCCACTCCTAGGGGATTCCACTCCTAGGGGATTCCACTCCTAGGGGATTCCACTCCAAGGGGATTCCACTCCAAGGGGATTCCACTCCAAGGGGATTCACTCCTAGGGGATTCCAAGGGATTCCACTGGGGATTCCACTCCAAGGGGATTCCAAGGGGATTCCACTCCAGGGGATTCCACTCCAGGGGATTCCACTCCAAGGGATTCCACTCCTAGGGGATTCCACTCCAAGGGGATTCCACTCCAAGGGGATTCCACTCCAAGGGGATTCCACTCCGGATTCCACTCCTAGGGGATTCCAAAGGGGATTCCAAGGGGATTCCACTCCAAGGGGATTTTGCCGACTACGAGTAACGGTGTAGATGATTGACTTTATGAAATGCTTTGTATATGTTGAAGATTTTCGATAGAGTCGAAAATTGAAATTAAAATGATGTAACGTGAGTGTTCACTTCACTGGCAACACCGACAACAGGGTGAGTCACAGGGATATGTACATATCTTTTCCGTATAAACACACTTAATAACAAATGGATGTATATGAATTTTGTCCCGAAAAAGTCTTAATATGATATGCATATGCTGCATGTCCTCCACTAATACCTCTTGACCTGTTACCTGATCGCCTCCATTTGGTGTCTGTATTACCCTCATACTTGTATTTAACCCCATTCATTATAACTATTCATTATCAGATAAGGAATTTCTAACTGCGTGGTGAAAAGAATATGTTAGATTATCAGATAAGGAATTTCTCAGAGTAATCAAATAATATAATGTTAATGATGATAATAATTACAATGATAATTACAATAACTATCATAAGACCAAAAAAAAAAAAAAAAAAAAAAAAAATCTTAATATTAGGAACTGCGATCACTCTCAATTGTTAACATTAATGTCACATTGTCGCATGGAAATGTTTACACTAAAATTAGTATACAAATATTCTTCCTAAAAAAATAAACATTATGTACATTTTACTTCAATTCTTTTTCGTATCCTAAGAGCTCGGAAATCAATGGTTTTGTCCCAGAAAAGCCTTCAGGTGAAGTGAAGTCATATTTTCCTGTCAACCTTTATTTAAACTCTGAACTCCAACGACCTGACTGAAAAAAATGGTTAACCCTCCGGCGCAATGACCAGTAAATGTTGCATGACCTTTGGGAACTCTGAGAGAGAGAGAGAGAGAGAGAGAGAGAGAGAGGAATAATGATTTTGATATGTCGTCCTCGCTGTAACTACTGTAACGATAATATGACCTCGACATTTTAACCGTAGAACCTAACTATATATATACTTAAGAGTTTAGAGAGAGAGAGAGAGAGAGAGAGAGAGAGAGAGAGAGAGAGAGAGAGAGAGAGAGAGAGAGAGAGAGAGAGAGAGAGAGAGAGAGAGAGAGAGAGAGAGAGAGAGAGAGAGAGAGAGAGAGAGAGAGAGAGAGAGAGAGGAGAGAGAGAGAGAGAGAGAGAGAGAGAGAGAGAGAGAGAGAGAGAGAGAGAGAGAGGAGAGAGAGAGAGAGAGAGAGAGAGAGAGAGAGAGAGAGAGAGAGAGAGAGAGAGAGAGAGAGAGAGAGGAAAAAGAGAGTTTGTGCTTATATGTGTGTGTAATAATAATTTAGGGTTTGGTGGGACAGGCTCTTGTGACATCAGCCAAATTGTGGTTTGTCTGTTTATTATGCTTCTAAACTACCCCCTGTGTGCGAGGAATGGCCGGGGTTGCCATCCACTGTCAGGGCGGGGAGTTGAACGCAAGACAGCAAGACGAGAACGTATGTGTGTGTGTGTGTTGCCGAAATATACCAAGCTTAAATTCACTAAATTCCTGATTACGTCAATTTTAGGCAATAAAACCACCAATCCCTCCCTTCTAATATTCATGAATTTTCTTTTCTGCACCTTCCTTTTGATTCGACTGCTTCATTTCTTTCATAAATGTCACCCCTAGACTAATTTTGGTGCCGTCTCTACACCTCAAAAATCGTAATGATAAACAAGTGACAATGGATGCGATGCGAAGTCACAGAATACGATTATTCAGGTACTTTTAACATTCTACTGGAAGCATCCTTGGCGTTTTCCTTTTGATATGAAAATAACTGCGTATTAAGTAGTTTAATGGTTTTCTATTGACCTTTTTTATATGATATAAGGAAGAATAATTTCTTTTACGAAAACTTTGTACTTCGAAGTTTTCGTATTTTGTTTCTACTGTGTATTGATATATTCATCTATTGATCTATATGTTCATCTATTAAGTTATCTATCAATATTTCCATCTTTATGTATAAATATGTGTGTGTATGTGAGATAGATAGATAGAGAGAGAATATACACAGTTAAAGACACATCGTTCAGTTTTTAGGAATTAGAAAGAATATAGTGCAACTACAATTTGCAAACAGAAAAATCAAAAGCAGGTGCGGTCAATATCTGATGCACTTAAAAAATCACACACAGGAGAGGACACACGGTTAACTAATATTAAAGCGAGTAGGTAGCTATGATCTTGTAGCGGATGACAAGGTAGCAAAGCGTGAGTAATTGCTTAATCAAATAGTATTATCAATATCAAGATCATGGTTCTATACCAAGAGTTTAGTATTCCAATGATTTAAACATTAAGAAAAAAATATATATATCTAAAAATCTCACGTCCTTTCGAGAATGGAAATTATCAACCTATTCAAGTCTATACAGTAATGCCATGTATAGTGAGTATCTTGATATTTGTTGAGTGAAACAATATTTGGAACAAGGACTTCCTATACCAAAAGGAGCGAAACGACAGCGCACGATCCCTTCTCTATATCACTATGCGGAGAGAGAAATGAGAGAAAATGAAGAGTATTTGCCAAATGATCTTATAATAAAAATTACGTGTACCCAAAAAGATCAAAGTCCTGACTGAACAAATGTCGTATCTCGGCCACAGTTTCTTTCGCAACACTGCCAAAATAGGCCTCGTCAGAAACCCGAAGACTCGTTGTGCTCGTGTGGAAATGCCCGATATTTACGGCCGGATCTATCCCTACGTCATCAAACACGAGTCTGGCTTCCTGGCTTATGTTCTCCATGTGCAGGATGTAGTCGTATTTTTCCCACACGGGTTGCATATGCAGGTCTGGGGCGTCCAGTGCTTGTCGAGAAGCCCGTGATCTCGAGACCACAGAACGTGATGAAGGAAATCCGGAAAGCTGAAGGAGGCGTTGTAGAAAAGACCTTTATAACGCCCCTTATTTTTCTCTATGAGGCACCAGCGCTTCTTCTAGGCTGCCGGTGTTGAAGAGCAGTGATAGCTTGCA